GTGATTTTGCAAATTTAACGCCAATTCGGTCGTGTGCCAATCTTTCGCTGAATATGTAAACCTTAAGACTGACGGAAGGAAACGTCTAGTTGATAATTAATATTATCACTATTATTAATATTGCGATACTTATGGAACTTTATATTTATAATTTATAACTGAATATTAAATATTATAATGTAGTATACAAATTTATAAAATTTATTGCGTGATTGTTTCGTCGTGTTTCAAAGTGTACACTCGTTCGGGATCGACTTCTCAGATCGAAATTGGGCGAAAAACAGTGCCCGGAGCTCTTCAGTCGAGATCGTGATGATTTCTTTTCATTTTAGAGAGTGAAAGCAGCGAGATCCACGGCGAATAGGGCGGATGATTAAGAGTTGTGACGCTGAATCATGGCAAAAACCCTTGAACGAGGCGATCGACGCGTGTCAATTCAACTCTTCTCTTTCCCAAAGTCGTGGGGATTTCACTTCACCACTATTATCATCACGAAGGTAATACTGTGGCTTCGCAGTGCACAATTCTTTCCCTTGTTCCATCGAAAGAAGAATTACGATTAGCATTTTCAACCGAAGAGCTGCTTGCCAAATTTCGGCAAAGTCCGCTGAAATATGTGGAATAATCTGACACGACAGATTTGAATGGATATTAAATGAATAGATTCTTAGAAATAAATTTCGCGTAAAAATCGGGAATACACGCTTTGGCCAGCGTAACAACCTTCTATCGCCAAGGTTGAAAACAGCCGGCAACAACGATGTGGACAGGCTGTCGCGAGCAGAAGCGAAGGTAGAATAAAGAAAGGTGTCTTACCTCCAAGTAGCCGACGGGTCCATTGAAGGGATAATCGCCGAGGCGACGTTCCTCGTCCAAGAATTTCCCGGCTTTTCCATTCACGGGCGGGCAGAACAAGCCGTAATTGAAGCTCTCCTTCAGCTCCTGAAAACCAGCACACCAGCCACCGGATTAATCGAAAACCCATTCCGGCCCGCCACCCCCGTGTTCTAACTGAACACACTACTATTTTCATGCAACGAGGAATGTAGAAGGGTGGCAGCTGAACACGCTTCTTCGAACCGAATCGAAACCACTCCCTTGCAAAAGGCTTTCCCTTCCCTACAAAGTCGATTAACTCGCTAAGACTCTAAGGGGTGATCCGCGACGCGACTTTCCTTCGTTCTCTTCTCCAGCGCGAGCTGAGAATCCGTGGTAGCAGCAATTTGCCGGAACAGAGAGCAAACTATTTCTACCGAAACCAGTCGAAATGACTGCTCTTAGAATAATAGAATATTTTCATATTTAATGATTTATTACTTTCTTGCAACAGAGAGATCCCGTGTCACAGTTAATACCAAATTTGGTCGGGCTTATTCGGCAAATATTGAGTAAATCTGCATCTGGCTTCAGATGGAAAGAGTTGTTGGTCAATTGCAATATTTGCAACCAGTTTGGTAGCAACTCTGACTATTTCGAATACAACTTATCCCACACAGCAAATTTCA